GGTCTGTGCAATGCTCTGACAACCTTTGAGCGGCTGATGGAGCAGGTGCTCCAGGGTATTCTGAAAGAGTCGTGTTTGGTCTATTTTAATGACATTTTAATGCATGGAAAACACTTTGACTTTTTTATTTTTTGATTGTTTTTTTGACCAGCATCCCTACCAGAGTATGTGAGCGGAGTGGAATGGCAAAAATGTATCCTCTGAACTCCAAGCATTCAATAATCACTCCGCTCCGGGTTCACCATTTCCCGCTCCTCCTGTGCAGCATGTCTCTACTATGGCGAAGCTGAAGGTTGTAGTTACTTCAGAAACAGAAAGAATATGCTGTAACTTTTCTGTTTTTAAGTGGAAAAATCACAGGACAGCTTGTGTGTCGTGTGCAGCAATGTATCAGCACATTAGTTTAGAGCGGAAATTTACTACCTGTACAATAAACTATTTAAAATGTGAATTCACCCCATCAATATTGAGTATCCACATTCTACAAACAAGCATGCTTGAGATATAACCTCCCACACTCATTCATCGCTATTATTATAACCTTCACCTTATTTGTGGTTTGAGTGATCCACATATCTGTCAAGCTAGCTAATGATGTTTAATGTGTGAATTCTTGATCAAATGCAGTTATATTGTGGGCTGTTGGCATTAATTGTGCTCGTGATCCTCGCTCCGCTTCCTCTCCACTCCGCTCACATACTCTGATCCCTATGACTCTACAGAGGATTAGTGGTTTGGAGAATGGATGAAATTAGATTGTGTAATTCCAGAGCTGATTCTTCTTTACACCACTGAACACCAATGCATTTACATGATCATTTACAGGGGCATGCTTAGAGTTTTGGGGTCCCTAGGGGCCCCCTCGGTAGAAATTTCTTTCTGAGGGGCCCCACACAATTGCGTGGTTTGCATTATGAATTAAAATAAGAAATATGATGCCATTTTACATCTCAATTTTCAGCTGTTTAATGAAAGAGAAACCCAGCAAACAAACCAATAGGTTACTGTCGTAACCCTGGTTCTCTGAAACATCGAGTGGAGAGATCCACCTATGGGAAGGGCAACCGTACCTGACCTCTGCAGAAGCATCCAGTTGCACCGAGTCTGGCTAGACAGGCAGACAGAAGCTCGCAACAAATGCTCGGCAAGGCCCACCCCCTTAACTAAGAGCAATTAAGGCCTGCATGCGCTGCTGTTCTCCAGTAAGTATATTTGCTTCTCATGCGGCTAGCTGGGCAAAGCTGGTGGATCTCTCCACTTGTTGTTTTGGAGAACCGGTGTTATGACAGTAACCTATTGTTCTCTTTCATCATCTTGTGTTCGAGATCCATCTATGGGAGAGACATAGACAGCTCCCTGATTGCCCAATACACTCACAGTGAGGTTCTGTAAGCCAGAGAAGGACAGTCACCCCAAGGAGGCGGTACCTGAAACGTCCCATAATCATACACCTGGCAGGCCAGATGCGCACACATAACTGCTGTACACAAGCAGGACATGAAACATGTATGAGGCACACACATGAAAATAAACCCAGCAACACACACACACACACACACACACACACACATATATATATATATATATATATATATAAACACCCAGGCAGTAATATAAATGCATGCTTGGTGAAATGAATATGCGTGGCCTGCCGGCACATTCACCCTTTGCTCCTTTACTACAATGTGTAAATTGGAAAGGAAAACAGAAGGTAACAAGGAGGGGCTATGAAGACCCCACCACTAAAGCCGAATGTGCTACCAAGGTTTTGGTGATATCCAGTCGGTAGTAACGCACAAATATGTGGGGAGAAGCCCAATATATATATATAAATAAACACCCAGGCAGTAATATAAATGCATGCTTGGTGAAATGAATATGCGTGGCCTGCCGGCACATTCACCCTTTGCTCCTTTACTACAATGTGTAAATTGGAAAGGAAAACAGAAGGTAACAAGGAGGGGCTATGAAGACCCCACCACTAAAGCCGAATGTGCTACCAAGGTTTTGGTGATATCCAGTCGGTAGTAACGCACAAACATGTGGGGAGAAGCCCAGCTGGCAGCAGAGCATATATCCTACAGTGACACTCCCCTAAACAGAGCCCAAGAGTGAAATGAGCCCAAGACTAAGCCCCTTGTAGAATGAGCTCTGATGTCTCCTAAGGGCTGCACCTCTCTTCAATTCATATGCCAGAGCTATAGCCACCACAAGCCAATGTGAGAGGCGTAGCTTAGATATGGGACTCCCCTTGTGAGGGGGCGCCCATGAAATAAAGAGCTGGTCGCTCTTCCGAAAAGCACTGGTCCTGGTCATGTATGCCTGTAAGGCATGAACAGGGCACAGAGCATTCAACCTGTGATCCTTCGCGGAGAAAAAAGGAGGAGGGTGAAAAGCGGACAGCTCCAACACCCCCGATGTAAACGCAGGGAAGCATTTAGGCATAAAAGATGGATTAGGCTTAATGAAAACCTTATCCCCACTAAGAGAGAAGTTAGTGCACGAGGAATGCACCGAGAGCACATGTAGTTCACTGACACGTTTAGCTGATGCCAAGGCCAAGAGCAAAGCCATCTTGAAGGACAGCAGCTTTAAGGAAACACTTCCCAGGGGCTCAAAAGGATATTGCGACAGAGCGTTCAGCACCACAGAGAGGTCCCATTCAGGAACAGTTCTCCTGACTACTTGCAAGGAACGACAGGCACCCTTCATAAATCTGCAGATTAGAGGATGCTGTCCGACCGTTGAGCACTCAAAGCCCACATGACAGGCAGAAATAGCCCCTAGGTAGACATTAATTGTGGAAAAGGACCTGCCTTTATCCATAAGGTCTTGTAAGAAACACAAAATATCAAGACCCAAGCACCGATATGATGAGACCATGCCCATCACACCACCCTTCAAACACTTGCCACTTACAACCATATAAGGACCATGTAGAAACAGCTCTGGCATTCTGTATAGTAGAAACCACACGCTGGGGAAGCCCTAGTGCGTTTAAATTTGTCCTCTCATGGGCCAGGCCCAGAGAGCCACCCTGTCTGGGTGTGGGTAATAAATCTCCCCGATCACTGGAGACAATAGGTCTGTGCAGAGCGGGAGGCACCACGGCTGGGCGTATAACAGAGGGATATATATGCCACTGCAGGCAAGGCAGAAAATAATACAGAACTTTCCAAATGGTCATAAGCTCTAGATGATTTATGTGCACTGAGCGTTGTCTGCTCGGCCACAAACCGTTCACCGTTCTGCCCATCTGCGTGGCACCCCAGCCTGTTAAGGACGCATTTGCCGTCACGACTTTCCGCAACATCACCGTCCCCAAAGGGGTTCCCTGTGCGTAAAAGTCTGCACTATTCCAGTAGTGCAGAGCTGCCGTGTAGGCGCACGTCACTGTTACAGAGCGGCAAAACCTGGATAGACAAAGCCATAAGACCCTGCAATCTGAGGCATGTGCGATATTGCATTTTCACCTCCTCTCTGAACTGCATCACACAGTTCATTAGAGAAAGAATGCACTTTTGAGAGGGACGCGCTTGCATGGAGACTGAGTTCAGCTCCAAGCGCCGGAAAAACACACTCTGACTGGGTGTAAAATTGCTTTTGTTTACATTCACCCTGAACCCTAGAGATGTGATGTGTGTGAGCACACGGCATGTGTCCTGCAACACTTTCTCCTTCGATTCCGCAGAGGGAGTCGTTCTTCCCCAGGGCTTTGCAGAGGGTGGGTTACTCTGCCTTGGAGGGGACCTGCTGCGGGGCCTATCCTTGCCCTGTTGGAAGTTTCGTCCCATGACAGAGGGGTTAGGCAAACGCACAGGGGGCACCTGGCGTGGAACCGCCTTCCTGGGAAGGCATAACTTGAAAGCCTCGTCCTCCATTTTGTCATCGCATCGTTGCTGCATCAATGCGACGGCGGGACCGAAGAGAGTCTGGCCGGGCTCTACTGGGGCACCCGCGATGCGCCTCTTCTCACTGTCAGGGAGGCCCGACAGATTAAGCCAGAACACACGCTCTCCCACCACAGAAAACGCCATGGAATGCCCGCAGGCTTGGATGGCCTGAAGTTGTTACCTGAGAGTTGACGAAGGCGATCCTTTGTCCAGTTGTTGTCCTAAGTCATCCAAAATCTCTGCCTGGTAAGTGGAGATGAGGGAGGAGACGTTAAGTGCTGTGACAGTCAAGGCTGAGGACTAAGGGGGGATCACCCACGCCGAGCACTGCCATATCCTTAACCTCGAGGCCTGCGAGAGTGTTTGAGGTTGACTGGATCGCCTCAGTAATGCTTCATGTGCTTCGCGCACGCTGGAAGGACAGGGAAGAGTTGTTTCCTCGGCCCAGGAGGGGGTCCCAGCAACTTCCCATCATAAATATCCCTCTCCTGCTCGGTAGCACTCTGTGGAGCCGGCCACTCAATGTTGAGGTGAGCGGCCGCTCGTTCGCACATGTCTAAGAGGATGGACTGGGGTAAGGCCGCGGGGGCATTAGCCTGGGGAACGACAGAGGGTGGGATTCCAAGAAGTTCCACATCGAATGTCAACTGGAGAACAGCAGTGCATGCAGGCCTTATATGCTCTCAGGTAAGGGGGTGGACCGCCTTATCGAGCATTGGTTGCGTGCTTCTGTCTGTCTAGCCAGACTTGGTGCAATTGGATGCTTCTGCAGAGGTCAGGTACAGATGCCCTTCCCATAGGTGGATCTCGAACACGAGACGATGAAAGAGAACCACTAATGTATTACTGAAATTAGGAAACAGAAGAGGGACTTTGAGCTCCTTTTCTGAAGGGAAGGGAATAATTTTACATTTGTAAGTTCTTTCTCATATATAACTGAAATCAGCACAGAAAATTCAAATGAACAGTTTTTTTTGTCATTCTTTACTATTCACAACATACATGTTTGCCAGCATGCAGCATATTTCCAGTCTGCAACACAGTTCAGATTGGACTGGCATCACTCAGAACATCCATTTAGTTCCTTTCGCTTGAAGATTGAATACATCAGATGGTGAAGGAGCCGTAGCTGGCCACAGGGTCTGTGCAGAGGTTCTTGTTCTTGTGGTCTTCGCTGAGTATCTGTGCCGATGGCTGTTGTGTCGATGAGGTCTTCATAGGGGATCTGTCTCTGGGGCTTGTCTAGTTGTCATTCAACCTAAATTAGAGGTCATACTAAAATGGAGTCAGATTAGATAATAAAATGGAGTCAGATTTGAGTTCAACCTAAACTGAATAACTCTGCGCGCTGAAAAGACCGAACACGCAAGAAACCTTCATCCACCACTGGATACCTTCCTTGGGCCAAGTGCGTGGACCTTACAGTCTCCACTGACATTCAGGGCTGTAGTGGTCATCACTAGGTTTATGATTATATGCATTATGTTTATATTAATATGATGATTGTTCAAAGATATTTAACCTTGTCATTGTGCTTTTTTCTGTGCATATAATCTCATTCTATAATGTAAGCAAACCCATGATATCTAAGTTTTCTGTTTTTCTGTCATTATGATTGTTCATTGTTAAAGATACAACCATCTTTCCCTGAGTTAAAAAAAAAATACACAAGGTTTTGAATCAGTCTTACCGGGATAGAATGAAAGTCTGCAAGCGGATTCTAGAGTGCTGGCCGAAGCTGTTAATGTCCTCACTGGTAAGTAATCCAATCCTTCAACGTTATATATAAAACTCCACAGGCGAGGCGGTAGAACATACCAACAACAGCTCAGTCCGTAATCCACGCAAAAAAAAAATGAAACCCAGGCCAAAGTCGAACACAAGTGCGGAAAACTGTAAGCTGGCAACTTATATAGTAAAACAACTTCCTTGTTGTGATCACGTGGATGACCGTGACACAAGGTGACGCGCTATATCTGGCGAGACTGGTCTCATCCGGGGCACACACATATAGGGACAGTAATACAGAAAGTGAGGTGGTAATTATATTAAATTCTCAACTATTCTTAAGTGTTAAACAGTAACAGTATAAATAAACCACCCCTTATGTGGCAATGCCCGCCTCCCCCCCCCCACCAGCCATCGGCATGGGAAGAGGTTCACCACATTAACTGTTTTAGGTGAGTTGCCCCAACAAATGGTGTAATTTATTGGCCCCATTCTTTTTAGTACTTCTGCTGGTCCCTCCCACTTGGGCACTAGCTTGGCAGAATATTTATTCGAGGCACACGAGAGAGGATGAGCCCTCATCCTGACGAGATCACCCGGCTGAAACTGCGCATCTTTCCTCCGGCAATTATAGTATCTCGCTTGTCTGTTCTTTTGCACATCCACTCTCCGTTTCACTTCCTCTGCAATCAAAGCTTGTCTTTCGACAAGATTATAGGCTGCTTGCTTTGGTGTGGGGGGTTTGTGAATTCATCTTTCCAGGGGTCCCTGAAGTCGGCGGTCCAGCATCAATTCAGCAGGAGTTTTGCCAGTGGTCTCTTGATAGGCAGAATTGATAGCGAAGCAGAACTCAGGTAACCAGTGATCCCATAACTGATGGTATTGCCCCACAAATGATGCGATTATAGTTTTCAGTGTCCTGTTTATTCTTTCTGTCAGATTTGTCTGCGGATGATAACTCGTGGTGAGTTTTTGGATGCATCCCCATGTCTTGCATAGTTCGGACAGCACATTGGATGTGAATTTAGAACCCAGAAACAAGATATTTGTTTCTGGGTTTCTGGGTTCCCCCCCCCCATCTGGTAAATTTGGGTTCTGTGACTTGTGTGGTTTGAGGGACAACCACCTGGAACATGTCACCATTCTTTGTTGGTACGTGACTGTATAACACCCACTGATGGTTTTCAAAAGTAATTTGCTGGTCTTTTACCTTCCTGGTTTTAGGTTCAGACTGCAAACGACTGGTGGTTTCATCCCTCTGTTGGGCTTGAGCTATTTCAATGAGTGTGGTATGTCTGAAGAGTGTTTAGTTGTTTTTATTGCCAGAGAGGGTGCTTCATCTTCCCTCTAAAGCATAGGTGCACTGGACAGTGCGTCTGGACCCTGGTTAAGACAACCCTTTCAATGATGGACTTGAAAGTCAAACTGCTTAGACTCAAGGTCCATCAGAAGTAGTACACCATGCAGGTAATTCTCGCCTACTCTTTAATGAATACTAAGGATTCGGACATACTTATTTGTTCGCCTACTGCTTTTTGCCTACTATATAGTAGGGAAGTATGCGGTTTCGGACACAGCGTGTGTCCTTCCAGAACCTGAGTTGCCCATCCCTGATTTAAGTAGGTTTATCTAAGTAGTCTCAGGGTGTTTACATGACACCATTTTTAACTAAAAATGGAAAACTTTTCATGCATTTTGGCTGTTCATTTGCATGTCAAAGGTGTTTTGGGGGCCTGAAAATGCAAACTTTTGAAAACGTGTTTCAAATTTCAAGTTTTTGGAAACAGTACCGTTATCACTATCGTTATCTATTTCATAAGCTATGAAAACGTGAATTTGTGAAAACTGTGACGTCATGTGCACACTACAATGTTCAGTCTATGTCAATGTCAATGTACGTGTGAGTTTCTTTATGAAGCAACATCGCCAACTACTGGCCTGGTATGAATAATGCAGCGTTTTAGTCCTTTTTACAGATCCGTGTGAATGGGGATCGTTTGACAATGTGAATATTATAAATCAAAAACACGGTTCCCTGTGTTAAAATTGCTTTTGTTCAGTTACTGTAGAGTAAACTGTTGAATTGTTGAAGGTATAAGGACGTTAAATAGTAACGTATATCTGTGATCGTGCTATAAAAACATGTTGGTTACACTTTATTTCGATAGTCCACTTTAGACATTCTATTAACTATAAGTAACTTTGTAACTACATGTCAACTACATGTCAACTAATTATCATTAATTTGCAACTACATGTCTACTAACTCTCAGAGTAGACTGTTAGGGTAGGTTTAGGGTTAGTAGAATAAGTTGACAAAGAAAGTGTTAGAAGATATTAAGCAGACAGTCTACTAATACTCTACTAACTGCTAGTTGACATGTAGTTGCAAAGTTACTTACTGTTAATAGAATGTCTAAAGTGGACTATCGAAATAAAGTGTTACCAACATGTTTTATTGTGTATTGCTGACAGGGGAGCTCCAGTAAGCACACGTTTGACTGCAGCGATGAGGGACATGATGGACGGCAACGACAGGTGAAGGTGGACACGGTGGTCAGCTGCTTCATCAGAATAAAGCTGCCTGGCTGGCACAGCTGTGTTGAGATGCAGTAGATGTGGGGTTCACCGCCTGTAAATATGTGATTATTAAAACAATAAGTTTGAATAAAGCTTTGTTTCATGTGTTGTTGACTTGTATTTATTTATTGCGATAGTTACTTTCATTCATTCTTTTACTCATTCATGTTTCCTGTTGTCTGTAAATAAAATATAATTATTTCATTAACTTATGCATGAATTTATTGCTTGACTGAAAATGTTGATGTATTCACCTTGGCAGCATTTATCTAGTGTGTATTCATGCATAGCTATGGCATATGAAAAAAATTACATTTTGCTTATTTTACTAAAACGTATACATTTCAGTTTAAATATATATATATAATTAATCTTAATAAAATGTATTATTGGTCAGCATTTATCATTATTATTGTGCATAAGTGTTGGGGTGGGCTAGCAATGCAATTCATTCTGGGGTAATCTTAATTTTTAAGTACTAATAATTACATTTTTCAAGTATAATGTCAACCGTTTTCTCCAAAGGCGAGACCTTTGAGCAGCTGCCCGATGTCTTCTTTGTGCAAACACCAAGGAAAACAAAGGAGATTTAAGCCAGTTTTGCTTGTGGATGAACAATTTGCTCATAAAATAAAGAAATTAACAACACATTCAAGAGATAACGATTTTGGGTTTTCTTAATAAAAAATAACTTTAAGGTTAAAACTGTGGGTCATATTAGTAGGGTTAAAAATATAAAAACTGAAATCAACCTGAAATGTATTGCTTATACTACAATCACAAAATAAAAGGGCAGCAGCTGTTTCTTCGACAAGACCACAAAATAAGCACATTTCATCAACATCAAAATATTTACAGATAGATTGTTGCGCTTGTTATGATGTCACATGATAACGTCAACATGGCGGATGATGTCCGGATCACATTCATCCTTAACGAGATTTGGCTGTAGAGTACTAACTCTTTTAGCGCTCATTAAGTAAGTACTTATTGAAATTAAGTACCTACTCTTTGAGTATGCGGTTTCGGACGCAGCCAGTTTAGTACCATCCCTAATCAAACACACCTGTCTGTAATCATGAATCTTGAAGGTCTTAAGCTGCATGCGAAACCAGGACAGATGTCCCTCTTCCATCCTCAGTGATTTACAGTCACATTCACATGTTGACCACATGATGTCGCCATAACACCATGAGAGCGTTTTGGTGTCAATTATGACAAAAACAAAAATTAAGGTATAATTTTATAAACGTAACCTTAAATAACTGGGTCACTTAAGAATAAATTCCAATTAAGTCATGCTAACAAATTATGTTTGTGTAACTTCATTTATGTGGAACCAATGAGCATGACTAAATACAGCAAATTCTATACTTTGCCGTCTGTTGCTGAACCTCTCCGACTGGCAAGAGCGAACTCCAAATCATCTGTCCTTATTCTACAGGACCGGTGTACGGCCTGACACTGTAAACCACCAGATCCTCCTGTCCACCCTCTCTGACCTGAGCATCACAGGTACGGTACTTCAGTCTTAACTCACAGGCAGACCTTTCCAGAGGAGGGCTGTCTGCTAATCACTGGGGTTCCTCAAGGTTCTGTGCTCGGTCCTCTTCTTTTCTCCATTAACACAACTTCACTGGGATCGACGGCCTTGTCATGCACTATGAATATCATTGCTTTCATGACAGACTTCATGTGCAAGTCGTTTTGGAAAATGCTTCTGCTAAATTAACAGTATAGGAATAATTATGTTGTGAAATGGTACATTCATATATTCATTCAACACAAAAACCGTAACGTCACTGCAAATAAGCCTGACTGATGGAAAGTGAATTTTGGGGCCTGTGTCCTGTGCATGGTTTGTAATATTTTAGTGACTAACACAACCACTGAATATGCAGAGCTCTTAAGACAGAACTTGACGAACGGCGGTCAGTAAAAAAAAAAACAATGCAAAGTTGGTAAAAATGAATACAAAAACTATTTGTAAAATGTGGTCATGAAGTGATAAGGTAAATCAAAATTAGAGGCTTTTTTTGTTTTATTTTAAATAAGCTAATGTAACCTAACGGCACTGATTAAACTTAAGACATTCACAAGTTGAGGTTTAGACAGAGAAAAGCACTCTGGAGACAGAACAGCATCAAGCAAGGCCACACCTTTTCATTTTACAAAATTTATTTGCAGGAATGCAAAAACACTGGTTATGTACTTTAAAACGCCATTTTTTTATAAAAATGGTCTGATGGTGATACAGAGAAAATTGTGGAGTCAGTCATATTCAAAATCCAGTCAATACTTTTAAAGAAACAAAAAAAGAAACTGAAACCTCAACAGAATCCCTTTAAAAATGTATAAACCCTGTACAAGCGCATAAGAGAATTAAAGTTACCAATAACATGCCCAAAACGATGCATATCTTAATAATCCATCACATCAAATGTGATGAAAAGGCAGCTATGGTGTGCCCAGTTCAATGACCTCAAACGTCCTGCCTGCCCTGAGCTCTGCTCTTATTACAGACTGAATGGGTAATGGCTTAATCAGAACCGCTCTCACCAGTCCAGTCTGATTCACAATCAGCGCCAGGGATGGAGATGGAGCAACGCTCAAGTAAAGAGATCGATCCCAGCTGATCTCCTGTCAGCCAGACCGGCCTAACTGCCTCCGTCGAGAGAAGCAGCGGCGATCAGAACGATACTCTGGACTTACCTTTAAAACCTACGCTGAACTGTGCTCGCCTAGGCGGCATGTAGCTCACAAAAGGGATGGTGTTGGTTTCAAAATTGATCAAGCAGCCATCAACGCATGATAAGCTCCAGTAAAAAATGCAAAAAAATATACAACAGCATCAAGCTCCTCCAAGCCACTTCAAACATCTACAAAGTGCAAAATACATGTAACGTTAAGGATAAAACTCCTTTGGGCTACTTCGACCTCCAGAAGTAACGGTAAATGGCATTTTCTCTCATGACACAAGGGTTCTGGGACATAAACTTAAAAAAAAAAAAAAAATTAAATACAAAAACAAAACAATACACAAAGAAGAGTCCACACACACAGGTCTAATCGTGACTTTGCGTTGATGGCAATCTTGGAGGCAGACAGGGAGAAGATCTGCTTCCGTAAGGCAGGAACCGAGCTGGACCGTGGAACGGACCTTACCATCCCATCCGCTGGCAGCACCTGGCGTGACCCCACTGAGCTAGTCAGCCTTCACTGGGACATGTCAGGACCAGCCTCCACCCCTCTCCCCTGCTAGCCAGGTAACAAAAGGAACACAAATTAGAGGAGCGTTAACAATGAATGCAACACAAAAGGAAAAAGAAATCACACAAGGACACAAACGACTGCAAGGAAGATGTCAAAGAGAGACAAAGCAAAATGCATTCACTAGACTACCGACGACACCCTATGTTTTGGCATGCATGGCTCGGATCGAAGCGACAGGATTAGGTGATCTGGAGGGGGTGGGAAAGTTACAGAGATACGAAAGGAGGAAAGCAAAAGACAGTCATGCATGGTAGCTTCACAGTGGCTCAAATTTGGGACAAACGTGCAAAGAGTTAGAGCTTCCAGCGACAAAGACGCCTCATCTGGACACGCTGTTTAGCGTCAAATTGTGCTTTCTGTGGCTATCATCGAGTTTAGCCTCTGTCCTCGTGGAGTTTCTCTCACAAAACCCCATTGAAGGGGACCTCAGGAGAGAAGGTTCCCAAAAATTGCAATGGCAGTGAATGGGAGTAAAGAAAAGCCTCTCAGTTGGAAGAGACCGTGTGAAATGGGGTATGTATTTACACAAAGCTTGAGTGGAGAGAGGATGCGGACTTCAGCTTGGTGAGATCAATTTGAAGGCATGCAGAGTGAGGTAGCAGCACATGTCTACAGGCAAACCTTTAGTCCTTTTTCTTCCACAAGGAGCCATAAATTTGTAGGCAATTTGAAGAGAGAATTTGCCGAAACATGAATTTGAAACACAATTTGAGTTTTTGTACACTGGTGCGTGTATGTTTATTCAAGCAGACAAACAGCAAAGAATACAAGCCAAAATGTAAAGCCAAAAATTAGGATCAAAGTCCTTTTTTTTTTCTTTTCTTTTTTAAATCGTTTTCACCAAAAACAAGACAAGCTATTTGACTAGCATTATCTTTTGTAACATACAAATAGCAATTTTTTTTTTCCTTTTTTCTTCATTGAATACAAGTTTAGGAGACACTTTTTTTTTTTTCATTTTTGTCCTTTTTTGTTGCTGTTACCTACTTAAGACATGAAGAGCAAAATTCCTATGAACATACATGGTACTATATAGCCAAATAGTCAGGTTGAGCACAAAACTGCAAATTTTAAAATTTCAATCCCGATTTTAAAAAGTAGGAAACGACTTCCAAACAAAACATAAAACAAAAACAGTTCGGCAGAAGCAGGTGGGAGTGACTACTGATCGAGTCCAAGCGGATTCTTAAAATATGTACAAGAAAACCCGCCGGGAACGGGAGAGAGGCAACCTTTAATGGATTTGAGGGCCAATCAAGACTCTTCAATTAAAAAAAAAAACCCCAAACCCTTTTTATAAAGAAAACAATAAGCCCTACATTATTCTCTACTTCCACTGTTGCCCAAAAGAATCCTGATAAAACGTCGTAGCCGCCCCTGTAGTTATGGTAATCGTAACCATAATAATCGTAGTAATCTTCATAGCCATAATAGTCTGGCGGGTAGGAGTAACCACCCCGACTGGCACCCCTGCCCCGGCCCCTGGCAGGAGGCGGCATCTGAGGAGGCCCATAGTAGTAGTAATCATCATACCTGGGAGAGAAGAGCACAGGGATGTTTATATTCATATGAAATGACAAGCCGCTCGTCTCAGAGATACAGAGCTATGAATCACCTGCTCTTGGAGGGCTGCAGAGTCCAGCTCCAACCCTAGCCAAACACACCTGCCTGAGCTAATCAAGGTAGGGCTGTCACGATTCCTTGATTCAATTCGAGTGCTCGATTTAAAAAAATACTCTATTGCAATTTGCTCGTGTCGAGTAATCGGCAAAATACCGGAAGCGGCGCATTCCACGGACGAGAATCCAAGAAACGCATTATTAGACCGTCTTCCAAGGCTGCGTGACATTAAACATTTAAAAATCATAATGTATAATGCTATTGCTAATAGCATTATGCTAATGTGAATTCACAAACGATTTGATTCAATTAAATATATGCAACGCCGGTTTAATATGTGCGCTTTATTTACATGCGTGTAGGTCACATACGTGTGTCTCAGAGCGGCTCCGTTCACAGTAAACGCTGCTCCGCACAAACTGTTATCATTTACATGTGTGTTGCGTCTCAAACTCCATCTCTGCATATTGCTCAGAGTTCGAGTTTATTATAACGTACATCTGCACACGCAACGTGCACCATTTCATCAGATTTGTAAGGTAAATCATTTATAAACTTACACAAACACAGGAGAATACATCAGTATCTTTCTGAACATGCGAACTGTTCATCGCGGTTTCAAAATAAAAGCTTAAACACTCACTCTGAGCTTACACGTTTTGATGTCTACATATTCAAGAAATTACAGTGGGTGTAGCATTAAAAAATAATGTCGTAAAGAAATGGCCAAATATTAAAGATTAATTGGACATCTGAATGAAATGTTGTTTAGTCAATATTAAACAAGGATTAGATCCCAATCGTCAGGCCGTTGGCGCCTCTGCAGGCATTTGTTGTGTAATGTAAATTAGCTCTATTGTTTATAATACATTGTGTATTTCAAAAGTTTTGTTCAATAAAACCATATTACTTGCTTTTCATACTTTATGAGAATTATTATTGCTTAATTGCTATTATACAGTGCCTATAGAAAGTCTTCATAGCCCTTCATTTTTCACATTTTGTTATGTTGCATTATTGTTAAACTGTATTAAATTACTTCTTTTTTTTTTTCCACATAAATCTACACCCCACTCACCATAATGACAAAGCAAAAACCGGATTTATCACAACTTTGCAAATTTATTAAAAAGGAAACACTGAACCATTTTAAGTCATTTTAAAGGCTAGTGTTCGCTTGGGTCTATTATTTTACTACAAAAAAGCGAATTATTAATTATCTGATTACTCGATTACTCGTCAGAATAATCGACAGATTACTCGATTACCAAAATAATTGCTAGTGACAGCCCTAAATCAAGGTGTTCACACCAAGTGTGCTGGATAAGAGTTGGAACTGAAGTATAGAGGACAGCAGCCGTTCATGAGCAGGGTTGGACTCCCCTGATGTAAATACACAAAACTCACATTTGCGTCTTCGCTGCTTGACGCTGCGCCTTCCTCTCTTTCCGCTTCTGGTCGGGTGGCTTGGCGAACACAATCTCAATGTGCTCCCCCTCTAAATCTTTACCGTTCATTTCTGCCAGCGCCTGCACACATCCATACCGTCACACCACTGTAACGACCGCTCAACAAAACACACGGTTTCCCTAACAACCAGAAACCTGCACCTGGTCACTTCTTACCTTGACCGCTCCATCTCTCTCATCGTAGTGAATGAAGGCGTAGTCTTTCAGTTTCTTCACTCGCTCCAGTTTGCCAAACTGGCCGAAAGCTTTTTCAAGTATTTCTTCCGTGACGCTGTTTGCCAGGTTCCTGACAAACAACACTTTCACCTAGGAGCAGATGAGATGACAACATGAGCTCTCTAGCTGTAAGAGAAGACGGGGCCTAAATATAAGAGCCATTATATCTGTCCCGCATTTTGGTCATTTGAAAACCCTGAGACTTCGATCAACAGTGCACACATATAACATAAGGTTGACTACTACTTCAGAACAATGTTATCTGAAGAGAGTGTGGAAAGAGAACCTGACAAACGGATCGTCTCATAGTTTCAGTACAAACCCTTCACTACAGAGAACACCTTGTGGTTTAGCACTGGATCATGTTCTGACCTTTGCCATGACCTCCGGGTCAGGATCCTCAATAGGGTCGGCCCACTCGACGGTGACCACATTGCCCCAGACCTTCACCTTCCCGCTCATGAGCCTCCGTCGAGCCTGTGCTGCTGTTTTGTGGTCCTCGTACTCCAGGAAACAGAAGCCCCTGTTCTTTCTCTTATCATCCGGCTGATGGTAAAGGATTACATCAGTAAGACCCTCTGAGAAAAAGAGAAAGAACGTTAAATGTGTATCTTAGAATCTTTAAAGAACCCAAAAGAATGGAGCATATTGACAGGACACAGAGATACGCAGCATGTAGCGAGGAATGTACGCTCATTTCAAAGCAAAGCTCACCTGTGACTTTGGAAAACTCTTCAACAATCTGTTCTTTTGTCTTGCTCTTGGGAATGGAGCCCACAAAGAGTCTGTTGTTTGCCACTGATATACACACGCCAATATGTTTGCCCGGGCGAATTTCATGATTGTTACACTGAGAGGAGAAAAACAGGGATTGAATACTTGAACAACTGCTGAATTTACAAAGCAACACCCACGTCTTTCACTACCCAATCACATTTTTTTCTGGAACAAAAGTGACTTCCCCACAAACAACCCAATGAGGTTTTCTGGAATGTTTCTGAGATATGACTGTGAATCTAGTTTGATACATCATGATACACTTATGAGTGAACCAGCATGCAAATGTATTTGTCTTACTAGCTTGACGGCCTCCTGTGCGGCCTCTTTAGTGCAGAACGTGAGGAAGGCGTAGCCCCTGTTCAGGCCGCTCAGAGGATCCATCATCAGACGCAGGTCCCAGATCGGCCCTGCCTTCTCAAACAGAGGCACGAGCTCATCTTCAAACAAGTCCCTCGGGATCTTTCCCACAAAGATCTGCAGAATGGAGAGAATAGAGAAGTCAATGAGCCAGTCTGACAGGTTAGAGCCAAACTAAAACACCCCAGAGGCTACAATATAATCATTTCTTCAAAGTATCAGTCTTAGACGCACTGAGGATTTGAAAACAGGAAGGAGATGCAGGTCATTCATTAATCACTCTATACTCCCTGACTTTGACCAGAGTTATTGTTAACCAAAACAATAAAAATAAATAAATAAATGAAAATGATTGCCTTGAAATGATTTTCTTCAGTTATTGTTCGAGTACTATATTAACTAAAACAAAAACAATACAGACAAACACAAAATCTATAGTAGTATAACAATACTAAAACAACACTGCGACTGGTCAGTGGCATCATAGATCTACTGTTTTCACATAAAACATTAACTCAAATCAGTATGCCCATTTATTAAAAGGCATTAGCTTCATGTCTGGGTCCTGCTCATTCGGTTGGGGTGCTTTTGATACTAACTGTACATTAACATGCTATGTTTGGAACTCCACACAGATTTCAATGTACCTGCTCACATCTGAACAGCATCTGCTGGGTTTTACAGCAGCCAGATGGCTTTTAGATGTGGAGAGGCTGTAGAGTCAGATCTTAGCGGTAAACTGTCAGCGTAACAAAGTTACTCCAGCACAGTGTACATAACTCATCATTCAGACAGCCTTTAAAGACCCCTGATCTAGCGCTTCACAGCACGAGAGCCACCGTCCTGATGTGAATTACCTCTGTGCCGACCGTGGGCTGAGCACCTGTGTAGACGGACTCTGGTGGAGGGCCGCCGTACTTGCGCTGACCTGTAGTGACATCAAGGGTGTAGCCCGTTCTCTCAAGCAAAGTCTGAAACACATGACCAAGCCAACGAATGAACACAGGTGCTCGTAAAAGGCGCTTAAATAAAAAGCCCAAACGCACCTTAATTTTTGCTTCATCTGGTCCTTTTGTGGCATCTAGAACTTTGGTCCCCTGTTTCTCTCTCTGCCTGTAGGTCTTCATCACTCCACAGAGAAAGGCACTTTTGTTCTGAGTGAAAGCAAGAGAGAGCGAGTTAGTAAAACCTTCCTACGTTTCACTAGACTCACTCGAACAGCAGAGCGAGAACACTTACTTGCACATGGGATAGATCGCTCTCTTTAAACTGGACAAGAACTTGCAGTGCACCTTCCTCATTGAACTCTTTCAGTGCTTCAAGGGCCCTCTCATCCAGTTCACTGTGCTCCACAAGGCCTGCAGGGAGAAAACCAGGGAAACCTCAGCGTAGCCGAGAGATGTGACGATCTGCAGGACGCTTTACCACCCGTCCAGTCAGGCTCGTGGATCGTACATCAGCGTAACTCAGAGAGAGAGTTCATGCGTATCATCATTCGGACAGGGCATCAGTACAGACCTCATGAGCGGCAGTGCTGCTGTGTGATTATGGGATAACAGTATTTTGCTGTCTGATCACCCAAATATTTCCAGGTTTTCCGCAACTACAGGAACCCCCACAAAAATCACCTGATATAGGTCATCACTAACACTACAGGCAGTCAATAGCAGCACCTCGTTCACACAGTAATAATGATTATCCCAGGAGCACCCAGCCCATTCATAATTAGCATCTGTTAGTGATAAGCTGTACGGGACATCACCTGTCTCCGCTCTAGACAGCTGCCTCTATTGTCCCGGCTTATGCCCAGCTGGCCCCCCTGGGACAGCCCCCCCCCAACAGCGGAGAGCTAATCCCCAGAAGGGCTGCTCTCAGGATTGGACCAGACACACTCAGTTCAGCCTTTATTTCTGCAGGCCGGCGCACCGTTACAATTCAGCCTCATTGAACGCTGCAGTACCCATTTTGCAGTGAGACCACACAAAGTTGCTAATTACCTGCCAATTCCCTATGCAAGAAAACATACGACACGTACAGTTCAACATGCATTGAATGTGATGAATGTCAATTTGGAGGGGTCGAGTTTTGGCTTACCTGCTAGGTAAATTTCATCTAGCTTTTCAGCAACTTTTTGTGGTAAACCAGCTTCTAATAAAGCGTTGAAGTGGTCAGAATGGGTAACTGCAGCAGACGTGTCCATTGGTTCTTCAGTACCATTCCCATTAATATGTTCTGTGGCCATGTCTCCAGAAATCTGTTCAAATGCAATGAGCCAAATTATTGCAGGTTTTGGTAGACAGTTACACAAATTAAGTGGGTATTCAATTTTATGTATAGGGTTCCATATTGCAATTTCAAAATCATCCAGTCTTTTTTTTGTTTACCTGCATGCAATGAATGATAAATATACGCTGGACCTTTTCCTACACATTTATACATGCATGAAGCATCCTAGCAAACAGCCCCCCAATCATCTACAGTCTCTCACATTCCACAGCCAGTCAGCACGTTTACTGCATCCACAATGTGCGCAAACACAGTAAAGTGCAGTGCATGTGCTGAACATAAGGCCGTGTGTGATGCTTCAGGTCCTCCATTATAATAAAGTCACGGCAGCCTCACTGAACTGGATCACCGTGAGCTCCAGAGCGCGGCCAGTGCACACTGGTGTTAAACATCATCTCCACAGTCTGTCTGTGTGTGTGTGTGTGTGAGTGTGTGTGACTGTCTCAACCGCAGGCTCTCTACTGAGGCTGAAGGCACAGGAGGCAGACCAGGACACATTTAACCCACAGAAACTGTCTATTTAAAGCCTTATTCACACCAGACGTAAATTTTGGGCAAGAAAAAAAAATCATTTCTATGAACTCAACACAAAGTTCAACATATCATTAGAACGGTCTATTTTTCAATTGTTTGGTTGGCCAACAATTTATTCAATATCATTTTCAATATATCCAAATATTGGATTCAGTATAAACAGCTGTTTGCAAATATTTTAAATTCACATGTGATTTAGGTTGTACCCTGAGTGAGTGTGTGTGTGTGAGAGAGTGAGTGAGTGAGTGTGTGTGTGTGAGAGAGTGAGTGAGTGTGTGTGTGTGTGTGTGAGTAGTCCGCAAACACACGCGCGTTCAGCAAGTGTGAATGGCTAAAAACACACGCGTCGGCTCGCAGCACGAGTCTCAGGCCCTCCGCAGCTAACTTGCGTTACACACCGAGCGAACTGCTCTGTAAAGAGCTACGTGACGAAAACGCGCTGCGCAAAACGTGCTATTAATACACGAGCCACCAAAACAGCTTAAGAAAATTAGAAAAGCTGCGAGATAAATGCGTGTTAAATGGGATTCAGGCGCGAGCCTCCGTTAGCATTAGCCTGCTAACTCAGCAGCCTGACTCGCACAAAATCAGCTAATTTAGCGCGCAAGCCACACGCTGTAATAACTAATATAAGACACCGCTGCACGTTCTCGTGCGTTTATACGGTTCTGAGGGCCTGCTCTCGCATAGCGAGCGTGTTTGGCGTGTCCGGTAAACCCCCTCCCCCGCGCATTGTTTCCAAACACCGGGCGAATAAAGGCCTCCGCAGCACGAGACGCCACGGAACCCAGCACCGAGCGGCCGCGAGCTTACCTGACGGGGTTCTGCTGCTCTGTTCGGGTCTGATCGTGTTGAACGTGTGTTCTGGGGCGGGTGAACGACTCCCCGGCGGAGCTCCGCTGGATTCCCGATAATGTAAAATGGCGGTGTCCCCCGCGCGCGCGCGCACCGACGGGGTCTCTGACGCGGCCGCTCACGGGCTGAGCCTCACTACACACGGGCGGAGAGCAGCACTACACAAACCCGAGCAACACCGCAGGCAACTGCGGCCCAGATCTATGGAAGCACAGTTCCGCCACTGTGATGGAGAGATTGAAGCTTTTCAGCCGAGTGGTTCACAGAAGGGTTCATTTCTCGAGGCTTCATTCGCTCACACTGCCACCTGGTGGCCAGAGAGTGTAAAACAAGCAGATGCTCTACAGATGACCTGATGTGGTCTGTGATGCACTGTATCTTGCGCCAGTTGAAAAAAAATCAATTTCCACATAGACTAATCTGTTTATATGAATATAAGGTGTATTTTCTAGTGGTATATAATGATTGCATAACATAACTGTGTAATAAACGCATTGGCTTGAAATGAATGGGGCTATCAAATGTGTGTAAATCAAGTCTTTGCCCATAATAGACAGGAGGGGCAATATTATTAGTCTAAAACTGGAAAGTGGCTGAGTTTAACAGGGCAGAGGACTGTGAATTTACAAGATTCGAACCTCTTCCTGAACCAGTCAGGGGTGCGTTTCCCAAAAGCATTGTTAGCCAACTATAGTCGCAAACATAGTAGCTCTGGAGCTGTGGTTAAAGGCATGTAATCAGTAAAGATGCATTTCTCTCTAAAGACACGTCCACTGAGGAGATGGTGAGTCAGGTTGGTCAAATTCATTTTTGCAACATTGACTCAGAAAACATTAGTTTATTAACAAATAATTCAAATATCCCCTCACTATGTTTTTTACTTTTTTTTGTTTGTTTGTTTTTTTATTTTTTTGGGCCGCTGTGCCAAAATTATGTTTGCGTTCATAATGTTTTAAGAATAAAGTGAAAATTACGATAATAAAATCATGTTATATTGCGTGAAGTTAATGTGAAAATTCCACCTATAGGCTACTCCTCCAAAAACAAAAACAAAAAAAAGTCTGTGGCATCCGTCATTCTTTTGACTCGTTTTGAAACTCTGATTGATCGATTCACGAGACATTCGTTTGTATTAAATTGTTCTGATTTTTTTCAACATGCATTCAAATATTCATGTTTATTTCGTGCTGCAAATATTAAAGAGGAAAATATCATTGATTCATATGCAGCTAGAACTGAAGCGAATTATCTCACTACAAATTAAAGAGTGTAAAAAGACGTTTATTGTTTGTATTTTATCATAAAATTGGCAGAAGGCTGAGACTTTGTAGTAACAAGCACCAAACTGAGATTATTGAGTGGCTTGCGTGCTACAAATAATGAATGGACTTGAAAACTTTAAATATCATTTCCGAGCATTAGCCTATAGCCCTAAATAAAACAGCTTGCGAATAGTCACGATTCACGTAACGTTATTTACTTCAGAAAAATCAACAATAGGGCCTAAGTTACGTTATGGGCTCGGGGCTAACTCGCTAAGCCACTGGTAACATCACTAGTTATTTACTAGACTTTTTCTGACTTTTCACATGAAGAGTCCGTTTTTTTCCTCCACAAAATTACCACGATTACAAGTGTGTTATTGATTTTTTTTTACAACAGTTCAATAAACTAGAGGTTTTATTAAGAGACTTACATTTTAGACAGCATATTGCCTGTTTTGCACTATTTCGGCAACAAAAATAATTCCAAACACAGCCACAGCACAGTTCTGCGTCTCTGAGTAACATGAAGGTGTTTCGTTCCTGAATGAATCAACCGTTTAAATGATTCGGTTCAGTCGCAATGATTTACTTATTAACAGTGACTTGCTGCCACTTCATGTTCTGCATTAAACAGTGTGTAAACACATCTAAATGCCAATTCAGGTGCAGCTTATGTCTGGATTGCAAAGATGAATTTTGTTGATACTGATTTCATTTGCTTGGTAACAGCCCAAATGTCTTATTATTCAAATTGACTGATTAAATGTAAGAATTTGACTCAAAAGATAATGCACACTTAAGAAAAAATGGCTTTATAAAGGTAAAATGCCCATAAAAGGTAAAATCCATTTAAACTTATTGGAAAAGAATCATTTCTATCTGACCACCACACAGAATATGAAGAATATGAAAAACTTTAGGTGTCAGCTGTCCACGAAAGTCCTTAAAATAGCAGCATGATAACACACTCAATCAGTTGAATGAATGACTCGATACTCACTCATTCAGTGACTTACTGGTAGTTCAGTTGAGAAGTATTTTGAAAAGTATGCATTTTTCCCCTCAACATTTCTTATTTGTATATTCATAAATGCATTTAAAACATTAATCTCATAACATTATTTATTGCAGTTGTAATTATTGTTATTTGCAGTGTAAATTATTTAATCTGACTGGTAGCAGCCCTATAGTGTATATTGAATGTATTGATAAATTGTAATAATTTGGTTAAAAATAGGCCTTTGTAAAGGTAAATATGCAGATTTTAAGTTGATTAAGCTGATAGAACACTGATGAAAATATTGCTTCAGAATAAATTGTTTACTCCGCCAAAAATCTCAGTGATGCAGTTATTTTGTGGGGATATTTTGTATGGAATATTGTCTGCTGGCATTAAAAGTTCACTGTATATCGTAGTAATAAATATCATTTTATACAACAATATTACATGTATGTACTGTATGTAATATAATGTGTAATTCCATTACAGGTTTAGGTCTTAAATTTCATATAAGGTGGTATTAAAAAGGTCTTAAAAAGTCTTAAATTTAACTTGTTCATGTCTGTAGAAACCCTGTAAACTCACAATTCTGACTTTTTTTTCCTCGCAATTCTTAGATTTTAACATTCGGAGATAAAAGTCACAATTCCGAGATTTAAACTCACGATTCAGACTTTTTTCTCGATCGCTTACATTATGTCCTCCGTGTTTATGACAGCGCATGTGTTGCCAAGTCCGCAGTTTTCCCGCGGAATTGGGCTACTTTTTCAGTTTCCAAGTTGAAGCGACCTCACTATCGCGATATTACCCCCCGTGATTGGGCTAGTTTTGAGAAGCAATTGGGCGGATTTTGTGAAAACCTGGTAACCCTGTTTGTGTTGTTCTTTTGCGCATGTGGATCAGTACAGAACCATGATCTGGGGTGTATTCCAGAAAGCACGGTTAATTACCGTCAGCTAACCCTGAACTCTCAGTTGATTAACCCCAAACCTTGCTTACTCGAGGTATGTGGTTCCGAAACTGCGTCTGGGAGTAAGTTCACTCAACTCAGAGTATGTTCCTGGTTTCCGTTTAAATTATATTAAGCCTTAAAGTTCTGCATAATTAAGGGCGAGGCCACTTGAGTGACAGGTGGATTGTCGCTGCTGTCACCACCGTCGAGCTAGGTGAGCTAAGACTCGAGACATGCTCAACAGAGCGACGAGTCACTATGGAAACGGACGCTAAGAAAAAGCGCGCCACGCTGTTTCTTTCTTCTTCTTTTGTTCAATGGTCGTTTACAGGCTTAGTGCATATCGCCACCTAACTGATGGTTGTGCAATCATTTTTATTTTTTTCCGTTTAATCTTTAATCCTTGAGAATATTAATTATATTGTTTATTTGATGATAATTATATATGAAGTCATATCAGATATGTATTTTTTTATTATAGAAATGCATTATAGAAAATGCTGATCCACGTGTGAGATGATAATATAAAATTTAATAAATATATATGAAAAGTTAATTTGCAAAAACGGATAACTCCGTTTTTAACAATTTCTCAGAAATCATGTTTTTGCATTCCAGTTAATCTCAATCAAACTGCAGTTGGGTTATTTTGACTAGGTTAAAAAATAACTTTAAAAAAAACAGCTAACTAACACAATAAAAACATGATTTTTGACTATTTTAAAAAACGGAGTTATCTGTTTTTGCAAATAAACTCTTCATATAATTAAGTGACATGTGGCCAAGTATGGTGACCCATACTAGGAATTTGTGCTCTGCATTTATCCCATCCAAAGTGCACACACACAGCAGTGAACACACACACACCGTGAACACACACCCGGAGCAGTGGGCAGCCATTTATGCTGCGGCGCCCGGGGAGCAGTTGGGGGTTCGGTGCCTTGCTCAAGGGTACCTCAGTCGTGGTATTGAAGGTGGGAGAGAGCACTGTACATTCACTCCCCCCACCTACAATCCCTGCCGGTACGAGACTCGAACCCGCAACCTTTGGGTTACGAGTCCGACTCTCTAACCATTAGGCCACGACTTCCCCTTAAACATTACCTTGTTTAATAATAGTGTGTTATAATTTATACAGATAACTGTTATATATGCCAATAAAATAAATATAATAACCATATTAGAATAATATTACCTTATTTATTACTTATATTAGCGCTTTATAATTAACATATCATAGAACTATATATATATATATATACAGAAATTTGTCAAGTTTTTTGTCAGGTGTCGTTTTTAATTATATGACGTCATCACGTTGCTGTGTTGCCGCAGCCAATCGCTGATCGTGGTTTCGAGTATCGATACACCTGCCCTGTACGAGGAACACGAGAACACTTAATCCAGATATTTTAATCAGATCCGCAAATTAGTTTGAAGAACCAGATTAGCCAGAGATCAGTTATCACGATTAGAAGATCTGGCATCTTTCAAATCATGTATTAAGCGAGGTACGAAGAACGGGCCCCTGATCACACTGGAAATCTGATATTGGCCACATAAACAATGTGAACAGCTATACACACACACACAAAATAAATCAGATCTGAGTAATAATCGAAATTGAGCACTAAGGCTCGCAGCTCGGACGTTCAGAATGACTTGAAAACCGCAGGCAGGTTAGAACTGAAGGTGTGCATGTGACAACCATAAATACAGAAAAGTCTGGCATAAAGAAGATAACAGTGTCAAATCGACCCCTGTTCACATGCATCAACGAAAATGACTAAAAGTGTTGTATTTAAAGTAATGCA